GAGTTCCACAAACATGCAAGAGCTGATTAAAAATTGAGGCTCACATTTGTGGAGTTCCCCTCGTCAGTTCAAAATTGAGTAAGTATTCGAATGGCGGTATACAGACTCCTCTCGATTATCGTCCCGAACTCGGGTCCGCACCGGGACAATAATCTTATATGTAGAAATGCTTCAGCCCCTCGTATATTCGTTTTTTGCCCAAAGCCTGAGTCTCGGCAACAAAAGCGAATTCCAAGTGAAATTCCACGCCCTCCCCCCAGTGGTGGGGATAATGCCTGGACAATAATCGTGTAGAATAAGCGTGACAATAATCGAGAAGAGTCTGTACTTCGTTGTGTCTTGATTATATTTTGAAGAGCGCAGATTGGCCAACTTTTCTATCAAATCCAGACAATATCGATCTTCCTCTCGCTGGAAGAAAGCCTCATAAAGACTTCTTCCTATCTCCGTTATCGACGTCTAGGACGGATCGTCGCCCCACTCTAATTCGCGCCATCTTCGTCGTCGCGAACCCGTCCTCCGCAGGGCCGACAGGAAATCGACCGGTCGGCCGATTACTTTTAATTTACCGTCTATTCCACCATTAAGCCACGACGATTGCCGAGATCTCTCTTCCTATCCGAGTGCACCTACCTACTTCGCTTCCCGTTTCCCTCGGCGACGGTTACGTTCGATTCGGGCGTTAAGGGCGTCCGGTGCACGGAACTCGCCGTTCCGAACGTTTCAGGAGTTATATCCTGACAAGAATTATCACCGATGGAACGGCACAACCTCCCGTAAGATATTAGTAGCCCAGGGAGACTTGCTCGCCGGCCCGTGTACACGCGGCAATGTGTCAAAGGTCCTCCTATTCCTCCCTGCGGTATTGGACTCGGCCGAGGGTCTGAGTTTATTGCACTTCTCTCGAAGAGACGGTTGATACTTGAGACGTTTCTTTTGTTTTTTAAGATGCTTTGCCCTTTTTGCATGGAAAGCGTCGTTAGAAAAAGTATTCTGTGGTTAATCTCATAGTAATTAATACTGATCAATTGCATGAGATAGAAAGTGAAGAAGATGGATAAAGGTATAGTTATTACTAGACTGTGGATGTTTATGTAAATATAGAACGTTATGGATCGATTTATCGAAATTGGACGTGAAGAAAGATTTATTTACTTCGTTAAGGGTTCCAGTAGATTCGAAATAAAAAGACCTGGATAAACTTTCTAAAACTTTATATTATACTGAATTTCAGACTATCGGATATTCTACAAATGCATAAAATCTGCAGTCTAGTTATTACTGTCTGATATTTGGCTTGAATAATACAAGCAGGGAAACATTGCACAGTGAATTACTTAAAATGCAAGCTTGATATTACATGATAAAAAATATATACTAAGTAATATACTGCGTGGCATAACTATAAAACCACCCTGTAATTTGCAATCCTTATTTATTGTAGTTAAAATAAAAACGAACCCCTTTTTTCTTGGGAATGCAATCTATTATTTTCTGGAGAAACATTATTTTTCAACACGATTTCAAACATGACATACGTACTTGATTCGCTTTTATCTTAAACGCAATACTGTCTTAAGAATTGAAAATTTTAGGATGGCAGTTTATATTACAAATATTTGAAAAATCTCCACTGACTCACAAATTCGTTCACAGATGACTGTCACATTTATTTAACGAAATTATGTGCCAAATTACGAATCTTGTTTCAGAGTGACCAAAGATGTATCATGAAAGGGTGATAAAAATAAAAATCATGATACATAAATCGAAATTGCATACAAATTCCAATGCCACATGCCGAAAATGGCATAATTCACGTAGAATTACTTAAGAATTTCTTTTTTAAAATTCATTCAAATATTCCAAATAATAAACAGAATTTACAGTAGTAAATGAACTATAGTTAATCTTTGTGCAGCGACATTAGCATATTTTATTTTAAATCTATTACTCGTACATTTACCTTCTACCAACAGATAAATAACTCGAAAGTCTAATCCTGCGACGGAGAACGCCCCAAACAGTACTCTTTCC